ACTGACGAGGTAGCCTCGGATGGTTCCGGTTCAAGTTGGAGGTGGTTCAAAAAAAGACCTTTTGGGGCTTCAATAAGTTGCCTTTGCTTGGCTCTGAACGTCAAAGTGTTTGAATGGAATAACAAACTTTTCAAGGCCCAGAAAGTTTTTTTTTCATTTCCCAGGGCCAAAGGCATCTTCACTTTTGGACCAAAAGACGAGAAGGCACATGGAAACCTGTGCCCCAACCGGAACCTGTGCGGATCGCTAGCTGACGAGGTATGGGCAGGAAACTGGGCAGGAATAACTTTTTCCATCGGGAAAAGTTTATTTTTCACCACTTCAGCAATCCAAATGATACTGTTGTATTAATTTCCTTTCGTGAATTAACGAGGGACAGCCCTAATTTGATGACCCGAATTAGCGGACGAGGACACTAAACGCGGCCAAGAAATTAAGCCCACGAGGGAGACGACCTAAGAAATAAAGTAACTTGCACAGATACATGTGTCGCCCTAAGCAAACATAGAGAAACGAACAGTAAGCCTTGCGTGAGGCCTACCGTAAGATTGGAATTTTTGGAAAGAAAAGACAACACAATATTGAACACCGCACACCTGAAAGAGAGACTTTTGGGGGATACGAAACACCGAAACAGGAGCCCCCCCCAGATGTGGAAGCTGATTCTCTTGAAGTCTACAGGAAAGCATGTGGTTGGGTCGAGGAGATGGACATTCCGTTTAGATCTTCTTGTAAAACACTTTTAGTCTATGTCATTGAACCGTTCAATGGTTGAGGACCGGTTCGAGCCTGCTAAACTGGGAAATCGGATGTTCGGTTGGCGCCATAGCCTGGCAAAATTAACATAGAACTCTGGACCTTGGAAGCAATGTTTCTTAGTTCTTCCATGTTTTTTCCTACAAATTTCAATCTGGTTTGAGGGTGCATTGTCTTGAAACCCTGCAAATGGGTCGGCACCGTCCTTCTTTGCTGAGGCTTTCTCTATACTAACTTCATATCAGGCCGGCTTCTGTGAAAATCCTTTGAGTGAGAGATCTTGATGGTGAGTGTAGTCACAGTAGTGAACATGTCATGCTATCCACTGACTTGTTTTATCCACGGAATTGATGGCAGAAGGGCTCAAGAATCGACCATCCTGGTGGGAAGAATCAACACCTATATGGCCACATCCCTCCCCATTCCGGATCAGCCTTGATTCTGATGTTCCCATGTTTAGCCAGGGCCGCCCATCCTGAAGAATGCAGATGCCCACCCCTTTCTGGATTCCACCCAACCTACTGCCAGTCGAACTCCTTAACACGGGTGTTTTTTTTGCACATCCATGATTGTTGCTTGGAGCATGCACAAGGCCCCGAGGGCAGTACATGTTGTTACTTCCACCAAGTGCACTACCATGAATATTATAGTGTGACTTGGTGCCCTTCCATGACCATTGCTACTTGTACTTCCACTGCTACCCAGCATTACCCAGCCTTTGTCGTGTCACTTCTTCGTTGAAGGAAGAGTTGATATTGTGTCCCAAAGGCATCCAAAGGCGAGGTGGCGAGTAGATACGGACAAACCATATAGGATCAACACCACCTTAGGTTTGCAGAACATGTGTTCAATCTCCTACACTACGCTTGGTTATTGACTATTAGACCCATAGCCAGAGGTTGCAGGGGTTTTGGATCACCTGGTTTTCACCTGTTGTTGTCAGGATGATTGCACTGGTGCCAGCCAATGCAATTAGATCAGATGATCCTGGCCACTTTCTGGGAAGATACAGAATCCAAAGACGACAAAACTTTACAGAGAACTATAGTGGTCGCCAAATAGATAGAAAGTAGATCCCCACTAAAATGTATTGGAAACCGTTTCTATTTGGGGATTACAATAATATGAACAATGCAGCCTGACTGCGAGGCCCTTTTGAATTCTTTTGGCTTCTACTTTGTCCGGCTTTGGGTTTTCAGAAGGGCTGGCTCCTGAAACACAGCAGTTTAAGGCTATCAGACCAAGTCTGTCCCAGCTCCGTCGAATCTCTCCGTCCAGCCGCGCTGGGGTCTCCGTCTCAGAACGATGACGAGCTCATCGATGCTTTTGATCGTGGGCGAGGCGGGGAGACCCGGGAAGAAGCAGCGTTTCCGGATCGTCGGACGACCCTTTTTTCATCGGAGAAATGGACAAGAACTCGGTAAGTCAGTGAGTGTTGGGGAATTGGACTGGGTTAGTGATAGATTTCTCCTCAGGATCCACTGAAACAAATTTCGACGGTGGGACTAGATGTTTGGGGTACCAGGAAAGTTCATTCACAGGTCTATGCACACCTTTGTGGTGCAAGAGGAATAACGCAAAGACTTGCGTTGCTGCAGCATGGGTAAACTTGCAGGATCGGAGTTGCAAGGCCTGGCTCCTACTGGTGCTGACAACATACACATCAGAAATAGGTCAGATGACACCCAAGTGACTGCGAAAAATCAGCACAGTACACTGTGACTACACCCTGATGTCGCTTCAATTGGGCAGCCAGAGCCAGAGCCAGCTTCGGCAAGCATCACTACTTTGATCATGCAGTCCAATCTGATGGCCTCTATGCTCTCCGAACTCATCGAACAGCATCATCGAACTGGGTGTGGGTCAAAACAGTGCTATTTGACCAGAGAAAATGAACACTTGGGATAGGCATCAGCATTGCAGGCATCAGCCTTATCAACCACTGTATAAAGCGTTTACCTCAAAAACATCACCCGGTGACCCCGAAAAAGGATTCCCCATGTCCGAGTAACCCCATATATTGCCGACCCTGATCTTCATCCCATCTCCAAATCAGACTCCTTGTGGAACGGTTCCCCATGTCCGACATGTCCGGCCACGGCGACGGATCCAGGCCCTTCGGGATGTCAGCGCTGAGCTGTTGATGTTCGTCCTCGCAGCCTTGGTCTATGTGCTGGCCACCCGGGCGCTTCATGTGCCCTCTGGAGCGGAAGGGCTGGGAGACGGGATGAACGGATCTTGAAGGCGGAAGGGCGGAAGGGCATGTGGGACTGTGGGGTAATGTGGTGCTAAACTGTGTACTTTTCGATTATTACTAGAACCAGCTAGACACCAGCTAGACGATTTGGGTACATTCTGCAGAGAAAGTCGACATGCTTTAACGCCATGCCCGGCCGTGGCTGGGGTGGGTTCCCTCCCGGAGTCAGAGGGACAACCACCGCAGTCCTTTTTGGTGAAGAGAGTCCGGGCCTCTTTCGGGTGGTGAGGCCTCACATTGCATGCGTTTATTGAAAGCACAGACATACATATTCCATTAACATTATGTAACTATACCCACGTTTGTTTTACAGGACTTCCTTTGTCGCTGATACCAATCTATGAGCTCACACCCAGATGTTACAACAATGTACAATGTTTGCCATTTTGCCTTTGTTTATAGATGAAAATACAAGGTATGATCCGACTTGTGAATATTCCCTACAGGTACCGAAGAAGAAAGCAGGCCAGCCGACCGCTGCCGAAGGTTTGGGATCAGTTCATATCAGTTTTATTTCTTTTTTTTAAATGTGGAACGGCGACCTTGGAAGATGTATAGTATCAGGAGACCCTGATTTTATATATGTGTTCTATTTGTATTAAACTACATAGATGAATAACATTATCATCCAAGCACTCTCCATTCAAGCGTTCTCTTTGCACTGGGCAGCTTGCTACCTTGCCTTCGGAGTCTACGGGCTTGTTGTACCTCTTCTCTTCTGTCTGTTCCACCAACTGGTTCGAAGGAGGAGTTCTAGTGTCATGCAAGGCTTCAACTTCTTTGAGGCTGTTGGCTGTGACGTTGCTCTTCCTCTTGCACTGTCTTGGGATGAAGGAGAAGATCTTGGATGGTGATTATTTTGACAACAAGTCAGTTGATGAACCTGAAGCTGAAGAGGTAGACTGCTTCTCTTTTGGTGACTCTTTTTTTGAGATGATGACGATGATGGTTCTTCAGCTCAACATCCTCAACAACAGCACCAAGCTTCTGGTGATGGTGTTTCTTCTGTTGATGAGAACAAGAAGCTACCTACTTCCACCTCTGATGTACCCAACTGACAAGAAGAAGAATATGAAAGAGAACTCCCAAGTCCTTCTTGAAGGTAGGAGAGGTCTCTACGTTGCCAAGAAGCCCCTGAATGAATGTCTAGCATGTCCTGAGAGCCGGAAGCTGCTCGATCAGCAACTTGCCAAGGCTACAACATCAAGTGGTAAAGACTACGCTCTCAAGCCCTACGTTGATGACTCCGGCAACAAGCTCTCTGGTGGAGCATGCTTCATTTTTCTCAAGCAAGATTGTACTCCAACTCCAACCTTCTTCGACTCTGCTGACGTTGCCAAGAGGTATCTTGCTTCAGCTGGCCACAAGAAACGGTTGAAGGAGAAGGATGGGTCTCAACCACAACACTCAAGGCCTCGTTTGATTACTGAAGACTTGGCTGCCATCGGCAGTAGGCTTCTTGGACTCCCAGCTGGTACTGCTGGTGGTACGGGTTGGGCGGTCTCTTCATCTGAAGGCATGACCCGAAAAAAACATGTCTTCGATGGTCGTTTTGATGCCAAGATCAGAGATCTGGCACCGTCTGGAGAGTTCAAGGTGACTGGTTCTGCACATGGCAAGGAGCTTCAAGTCCCTACTGACAAGGACAGGGTAGTCAACTTCAACGCGACTCCAAGCTTCTCGCAGACACTTGCACCTCTTCCTGCTGCTCCAGCTGATGTGGCTTCATCACCATTTGTCTACGTTGTTCCCTCTATCCAGGATCTCAAGGGGAACCCTTGCATCGCCGTCTCACTTGTTGATGTGTTTGACCTGAAGCACACAGGTCATGGTCGACCTGTGCACGTCGACTAGTGCGATCGAGAGCTGGCGACAGTGGAGAACCCCAGCGATCCCATCGTCTTTGAGGACGGATCTGGGAACAAGAAGATCTACTCACCTTCCTAGCTGCCTTCCTACCTGCACCCAAATGGGTGTTGCAGGATCTCAGAGGATCCTGCTTGCAACCCGGCCAACCAGGCTGGGAAGCGAGAACTGTAGACTCTGTCTCTTGACGGGGTCTACTTCTAGATATCCTCGTCCAACTCACTCGTAGTTGGACGGTCTCTGGCCCAACACACTCGTGCGACCGGGCTGTTGATGTCCTCATTTGTTTGCTACTCGTGCGGACAGAATGAGATCTGCATCCTACTCGTTGAACGAGCATGGATCCCATGTGCCTTCAGGCTGTGTAGGCGGTTCTTTTGATCTGTCAAATTTTCATCCCGCGCATGCTGTCAGAGTGATGAGTGATGTCTCTTGAGCACCCATACTCAGGCGGTGGTGTGGATCTGCCACAGGTGGTGAAGCATCTGCTCTCTGGACTTCTTGTCTTTGTCTACTTGATCGCAAGTGTGCGCGTGTTCTCGTCCGATCAACTGGTTGGACTTGTTTCCAGGGAACCAAACAGCATAGATGAATAACTATAACATGCTATATAACTATATAACATAGATGAACAACTAAATATAACATATATAATACTGTTATTTAAAGAAAGTCTTAGAACACCCTGCTTTAGGACACCCAAACTTCCTGGTGCAGCAGCTGAGTGACAGATCTGATGATGCGAAAGATGATCCTGGTTGTGGCTTTGGTGTGATGTCTATGTTCCCTATGGAGACCAAGTGATCTAACCTATGCCCAGGTATCGTCTCCTGGTATCTCCTGGTATCGTCTCCTATCTAACCTGGAGACCATATTTTTAGACTTATTATATACGCAAATCCAAGTGATACTTGTTGGAGTCAAGCAGCGTGGCGGATCGGGGACTGGAGCTGAAAGTTTGGTAGCTTCTTTGCTCTCCAAACAAGGACGCCACATGGACGCGGAGTTCATAGTGAAAACCAGACCATCCCGCAGTTCTCCATGCGGCCTATGAAGTGATTTGTTTAAATGCTGGCGGCTGCGGATAGAGAGTGTGGGGATCCAAGCCTGCCATCCACTGTGGGTCAGAGTCACCCTATAGTTAAAGTATGTTAAAGTTCCATTCCACCAACAGATGAACACGCTGAGACAATGACCAGTTTTAAACTTGCTTGTTATGACTTATGACCAACTGGCGGGATCACCGACTTCCCTCGTGTGTTCTTCTCGCCGCTAATTCCGCTCGCCGCTAAAAGATCATCCGCTCCATTCCGCGCAGGGCCTGAACCCGAAGCAAAAGCGAAGCGGGTGGTCGAGCGCAAGGTCGGACGGAAGGAGATGGAGGAGACGAGCTGAACCGCACGGCGGGCAGCGGCGGGCGGCCGGGTTGGACTGCCCCAGCGCACCCCAAAGCTGTTGGCATGTTTCTCCCCCGAAGCCTTCCTGCTTTCTCCAGGAGACCGCCGAAGTCTACCACAGTCTTTTGCAGAGCACCAAGAGACACTTGGACGAACCGAAAGAGACGCTCAGGGCCTGGGGATGTGGTCGAGTTTGCACATGACGAGGGGGGGCGATGTGGTCGAGTAGTGAAGACATGAAGCATTTTAAGAAGACATGCTGCACGTGACAGGGATATAAAAACCATGGAGCACAGAGTGCTGCACGGGCTAAAAGTAAAGAGTGGATATGAGGGGAGTCTATATCCCAGACACTCCATGGGACTGACATATATGCCTACATTGACCCCTAAAACCACCTCAATGTAGAGCACATATGGCATGCATGGAGTGTTTGGGTACATTTCATTTTGGAGTTTCCATTCAAATAGGCCTTTGGACCCCTGAAAACTCCGGCGTTCCAACCCATCATTGCCATCCAGCATCTATCACACTCGGAGAATCATAGAGAAATCGCCAACCATCAACTGAAATTTCAATATTCATCATCATGCAGGGAAACAATGTAGAAACATACCTGATCTTTCAAATTCTGCGCATGCCGTCCCTTTGCAGAATCAGAAGTGTTTTTTCTACCAAATGAACCCTCACATGCACAGCAGATTCTGATTGGATTGGATCAAATCCCAAAACCGCAGTGCTACAGTAGCACAAATCCAAGCACTTCTCAAATGCCTCAAAATGGCCCATACGCCTTACTAACCCCCCAAAAACTCCAAGAAAAACCAGCAACATACCACACCCAGCCGACCCTTGGTACTTTCCAACTCCAATGCTTGACCCTTCCGACCGACCCTCCGACCTTGGCAGTGAGGCAATGAGGCATCACAGGTTCTGATCTCCCTGGAGCAGTTGGATGCGTCACAGCGAGCGGCCTTGCCCCTGCAGCTGGCCGTCAAGGCAAGGCCGCGCTCCCGACGCGAACGACGACGCGATCGCAAGCCACGCGTATCGGCGCGTACCAACACGGGCGCAAGCCACGCGACGCGGACTGATGATGTTTTTTGTTTTTGTTTTTTCTGGTGTGTTGGGAAAGCAGCAAGTCTGAGAAAGTATAGTTTGCTGCTTGAGGTTTATGATAGAAGCGATTTACTGAAATATACGATTATAATGGCTACCGCCTGGACAATTTATTTGGAGGGGTGGGGTATGTTCGCCAAATAATTGTTTTCAAATAAATTTTTGAGACGTTAGTTTTTGAGTATGGGATGAGGTGGGTCTATATTTTGTTCAAATTTTAAGAACAGTTAGGTATACCCTGAACTAATTTACCAAGAACACCTAGAGCACCCCCAAATAATTTACTGAAAATCTACATCTTGGATGACTGATGGAGGTTGTAAAAAAGTTGTAAAATCTGTTCAGATGTCAAAGAGCGAGCGACTTTGAATTACGAAAGCCAGCCTTCCTAGAAGGCGCCAGCTGAGTTGTGCTTGGCGAACGAAGTGAGTAGTTAGGGGGTCTGGGGGGGGTGGCCCGCAAAAGGTACACGTAAACTCGGCACATGCTGGGGGAGGAGGGTGCATCGAGGGAAGGTTTTTTGAGGTTGTGTTGGAGGTGATTTTTGAGGGGTGGTGATGCAAGAAATGCAATTTGCATCATTTGCATCATCTGAATGGAAAGGTGTAGTTGGCACCTTGCCAGGTATAGATACCCAGGGTAGCTACAGTGCAGCTACCAGGTATAGTACTTCAAGTTCCCGTTCCGTCAACCGCTCGATAACCTCTACACACGCACAGCAATCCACAGCTTTGAAGCCTCATGCGCGCGATACCTGGGAACAGAATTGTAGCTACCCTGGGTCCGTATAAATGCTATGTTGCTATACCTCTTACACACCTATACAAGTTCAAAGCACGAATGAGACTTCAAAGCTGTGGTTTGCTGTGCATGTGTGGCTCGAGAAAGAAATACGTAAACTCTGGGAGGTGATGCTTTGATGCTTTTGGAGCGGGTGGTGACGCACTCGCCAACTAGAACATATACCCTTCAATTAGGAACTTGAACAGCTCAAATCCAGAAGATTGCTCCCTATGAACCCTGGGAAGACTGGGAAGCGAAGAGGTGGAAACAGCTGGAAGGTCTTGAACTTTTAAGTAAACAAAAGGCCACATTCAAGCAGCAGAAGGACAATGTGCATCCTTTGCTCCCGCTTCGCAGACCTTCATTTTTAAGGTTGTTTTAGGGCAGCAAACCCTGGTCTCAGGCCACCTGGAATTTAGCTTGAAAACCACAGCTTTGAAGCCTCATGCGCGCGATACCTGGGAACAGAATTGTAGCTACCCTGGGTCCGTATAAATGCTATGTTGCTATACCTCTTACACGCCTATACAAGTTCAAAGCACGAACGAGACTTCAAAGCTGTGGTTTGCTGTGCATGTGTGGCTCGAGAAAGATATACGTAAACTCTGGGAGGTGATGCTTTGATGCTTTTGGAGCGGGTGGTGACGCACTCGCCAACTATACCCTTCAATAGGAACTCGAACAGCTCAAATCCAGAAGATTCTGAAAATGGCCTGGCTCCCTATGAACCCTGGGAAGACTGGGAAGCGAAGAGGTGGAAACAGGACAACGTGCATCCTTCTCGCTTCGCAGACCTTCATTTTTAAGGTGGCCAGAACAGAGGATTTTAGGGCAGCAAACCCTGGTCTCAGGCCACCTTGAATTTAGCTTGAAAAACTGAATGTTTTAACAAAAGCCTTGTCACAGAGACACCTCAGGACCCTTGCTTCGCATATCTTCATTTTTGAGGTGGCCTGAACATATAGTTTCGGGCAGCGAGCCTCTGGTCCCAGGCCACCTCGAATTTTGCTCTAAAATCTTTCTACTTGAACGAATGCACTTCCAATCATATGACAATCATTCGTATGTTCAACCAGGTGCAAGATGAGCTGTGCTTCGGCGCGCAGTTGTCGAGAAAGGGAAGCGCTGGCTTTCGCTTCGCAGCTTCTCAGGTTTTCAATTGAGTCAAACATAAGAGGTTTTGATTCAGTTCATTTCCTGCAACATGCTTTGCAGGGTATGCGTGGGGCACAAGATGAAAAATTACAAACACCGGCTGAAAACGTTTGTTCAAACACCAAAGCACTATGATCAATTTTAGAGGGATCATGATCAAACATTGCATGTTTTAATTTCTAATATTTGTTGGTTACACTCTAATATTTTTAATATACTTTTAATAGATGTTCAACTTGATTTTTACATCATGTGTACTCAGAAACCAATAGATATTTGAAAACACCCTGTTGGGAGCCAAATAAGAAAAATAACCCTGACCACCTAAGAATATTGATTAATTATTTGGAGGTGGGTGGGAGTAGGGGGGTACCCTGAAGGCAGTACACATCGATTATACTAGATTAGTTTGGTTTGTTCTTTGTTGTTTGGGTGACGATAGTCAGTTTGAAGCTTGAACAGATCTTTTGTGCTTTCATTCTGAATAAACACCCCTTTGGAGTTTCACTGTGGAATACACTGCTACTGGGAGGAGGGGACTCCCCACCATCGTGCGCGTTTTTTTCTCTCCACCATCCTCAAGGCATGAGACTATCCCCTTCTCGCGCCTGCCGCCTTATATTGTTAGGATTAGGATGTCTATAATGGATGTTTCATCGAGCCAAGAATGCCGCAATCGAGCCTGCCATCCACTTAGGATTAGGCATTCTTGGCCAGATTGATCTTACTATTTGGCTTACCCTGTGAATCCGGGCTCTCAAATACAGGTTTTGAGGGTCCAGACCCATGCGAAGGTGTTGGGTCCGACCCCTGCCATGGAGGGACAAAGAATTCGTGGGTACTACCAGCATCCTCCAACACATGTTTCCTGATGACAACACGTGCCCAGAAACCACCTCTTAGTCTGGTCGTCGGGCAGCTTCGCGTCACAAGGTGCTCTTGGCTGTGGCACGTTCTAGCGAGGAGGACGGCACAACAGCGCAAGTTTTGGCGGCACGCCTTCAGCAACTGTCCTTGCACTTGGACCTGTGCCCTGACAGCGGAACTGGTTCCAGACTTCGTTTGGAGCACCATGCCGGTCGACGCGCATAAGGTGTGTCAGTGGGATTGGAGATGCGTACTTTCCACATCGGTTTTCCATGGCCTCAACCGAGTCGAACCTCAAGAACGGCGGCTCCATGGTGTGAACCCGGTACGACCGGACCCCCCCCGGAAGGAGTGGTTGACAGACCGTTTTCCACCGGGCCACACAACGCCTCAGAGACTCCAGGAGACCAGGTCGTGCCACGTACCAAACGGTGCCTTTTCAGCGGCAGTTGGTGCTGGATGCGGGTCGTGTGGGCCAAACGGGAATGCGGCGCAAGAGGCCTCGCGCTGGCGCAACGTCCACTGCTGCCGAAGGCTCTACGACTTGGCAGGCGCTGGCGCAACGTGTTCGATGACGATCGTTAACGAGCGACGCGCGAGCGTTGCGATCCGCGAGACGAGATGGTTAGTGACGAGACGAGATGGCGACCCTGTTTTTTTTTTTTGCGGCGCGAGAGTTTGGAGCAGAGATGGTTGAGAAAGCTGGAGCAGTATGGAATTACCCTGTAGAAAGTCAACAGAGTTGGTTTGAATGTTTTGAACTGTTTTTTTTTTTTCAGATGTTTGAGATGGTTCAGTGAGCAAACCCTTTTGTTTGCAGGATAGGCATTGCCTTGGGCCCCCAAGCAATTCATGTTTTCTTTCACCGCAGACGTCCATGTCTCCACCCCCGCCAGTCATCGATCCATGTCCTCCGGAACTGACCAAACAAGTTACTCTCCCTGGAACTGGTCCATGGAAGTGGACTTCACCACCTGTTGGTAGTAGAACATGGTCTTCCAAGAGGCCATTCTCCACTTCCATGTGAATTCCAGGGAGTGTAAAGGACCAGATGGTCACTTCTTATGTTTCCCTATGGATCCACATACCCTCTCTAGAGATCTGAGCTGATGTGTAACCGAAGCTTTTTTGAGATCGGTGCCAAAAAAGTCGGGTCCAGTGGTACCGAACCTGAGGTACGGTGCGGATCCCTATATAGTTACACGATGTTACACGTTTTTACAGATAAATAAATATTCTTGTTCAAACCATTTTCAACTGAAATTGTCCATCTAGACCCTTTGCTTGGGAGTGCAACTGTGTTTTGGTCCTGAGTTCGGCCTTCAAAACCAAGTTCGGCCGGTTGATCTTGCATTTTGTGTTTTGATGGATGTGCAATTCTATAGGTGATTCTTACCCAGACACTCCATGGGACTGCCATAGGACTGCCGATCAGTTGGGATGGTTTTGGGGGTCAATTGATCGGCATATATGGCATTCCCATGGAGTGTTTGGGTTATGTACTACCCCACACTACCTATAGGTTTCCATTGGGCACCCCTTGGATGGTCCAGGTATGTTTGACATCCTGTTGTTGGACCATCCTGAGGTCTTTTGTCCGTGCAGATGAGCGAGAAGTTCTTGGTGCTTTTGGTGCGCCCGTGATGATTGCGCCATCTATTGCCATAGAGACCGGATGAAGCGGGGAACTTTTTTAAGAAACATAAAGTACATGCTACACATGCTGATCTCAAACTTGTGTTGAATGATCGGCAACAAAGATGTTGTTTAATCTTCAAAACTCCCATAGCTCTGCTTCTGAGGGACGTACGGAGTACGTCGCGTTTCGGTTCGCCTCCCTAAGCGTCTCGTTTCACACGTAACAAACGGATCCACAATGATCCACATACCTTGGGTCTGACCGAGGCACCCTGCGGGGAGAGGAATGGCACCCGGTCCATGGCCGGGGTTCGCTTTCAGGGATTCGATTGGGAACTCAATGACCAGAACTTGAGTCTGTCCGCTATTACCAGTAACTGTTAGTAAACATGTTTTGGGGAATCAAGGCCTTTGCCTTTACTAACCATCATCCACTGTTACTGGTAATTAGGATAGACTCAACACATACCCTCTGAAGGAGTCTGATTGGTGACATATTTGTTGAGATCGGTGCCTGGTCGTCGGGTCTGGTGGGTCCTAAGCCCGGAGATGGCGCGGGGGGGTCGCGCAATGACGTGAGCTTTGACGTCCTCACTTCCTTGGAATGCATGGGTTGAAACCCGGGAAAAAACCAACAAGCATAGTGTACCTGGAGTCACATGTTTGGGTGCCGAACTTGGAGGATAGGGGTGCCCAATATCCACTCATATATATATATATATATATATACAGTGTGATCTCACGAAGTCGCTATGGTCCAGTCTTCGATGGTTCATCTGAAGCCCCGTGCCCATTGGGTTCCATCAGGTACGAGGCCACTCCAATGATCATCCAGCCATGCACTCGATGGTGGAACAGATCTTGGCCCAAGGTCGGCGTGGGGTATGTGAGGCATATGTCTCTCTTCGGTCGGCGTGCAGTGATGATGTGTAAAGGGTTCGTGTTCTTCCAAACCAGGACATGTGGAGCCAGGCTTGCGCAGCAGTCGAGCGAAGATGGTGTTTTGGGGTCGGAAAGTTCAAGCATCGACCAGACGCGACGAATGGGACTGGCATAGGACTGCCGAGAAACGGCCAGGTGGTGGTGGTGCCAGGGGGGTCAATCGGCATCGCCAGAAAAACCAACAGTTGCGATCCAACAAGATCCAATGATCATGAGCCGGACCTGGGCTGGGCCCGGGCCCTGGGTGAGAAGGAACTCAGTGCTGCCGAGGTGATCAGTGGGATGCAGTGGGTTTTACAAATATCAATCATTTCCTGAGGATCAAGTTGCCCTCAGTATCGATAAGGCAGATAGAGTGGCAGATAGATATCCAAGTTCAAAAGGCTAAGAAGGAACTGCAAGCTGAACCTTCCCGACTCCCTACCTTCAAGCACACCAAATCCACCAGCCCTCCCCGAGCTGCATGAGGCTTTTCACCCGGTCCGTCCGCCGTCCTTGGTCCGAAGTCCGCTGGAGGCTCCTTGACGTTGAGCCGATCCTTCTTGGACGCCTTGACAGCGCAGTGCACGTCGGCCAACAACCAAGACACCTTGAAGATGATCCAGGCGAGTGGGTGGGAGAGAGGAATGCAGCAAGGGGGGGAGCCAATGGGCCATCACCCATCAATTCATTCCCGGAAAGTGAGGCATTCCACCCCTACTGAGGGTCCGAGTGTCCTTCCAATTCCAACCTTGGAGTCCTCTCGTTTCGTCCCACTTGGCCTCTGGGGGTCCAACGATAGACCCTATCAGATCTTCCCTCGGCGACGGCAGGTGCACGAGAATTCCTTGGGCATTGACCTCCACCGCCAGGCGGCGGAGAAACAAACCCGGACGAGCCGCGTACGAAGTCGTAATCCGTGGTCGAACCGGAGGGCGGAAAGCATGCCATATCACTTGAATGGTGTGTGCATGTGCATGTGCATGTGTGTGCGAAAAAGAAACGATCAACCAACAGTTCCATGCCGGGGTGCCGAACGAACGGAGGAAGTCGGGGTGCTCCTGTCACATCCACGGCCCCTGGATGGGACCAGCCACACCACAAGTTGGTTCCTTAGGTATTTCAAATTGTCATCATCTTCCACTCCCCGCAAACAAGCATGGTTTACACCTCCGACGCAGTGATCCATAGCTGTCCCACACGGAATGGGTGGGACGTGGATTTGCAGATCTATTGCTGCCCCTTATCTTAAGGGTGCTACTCAAGGTATTACAGCAACACCGCCAGGCTCATTGATGCTATATCCATTTGCTTTGTCCATTTTCCCTATAGTGAATGTGTTTCAACCAACTGAACTTTGCATGGAACACCTGCCGCGGCAAGGCACGACTCATCAGCGGTTACGGAAAGGACTGGTTTGTGAGGATGGGATGGTCAGCTCATCGGTGGGATGGTCTCCTTGTTGTTGTTGTGTCGTTGTTGTTCGTCCTTGTGAGTACAAACCTTGGAAAAGGATCCCTCGAGTCACTCAAGTCACTCAAGTATCTGGGTGTAGCATGCTGTTGTATGGGTTCAGAGAAAGCACCCGACACCCGACACCCCTGCAAAAAAAACATCATGGAACTTCCAACAGGCTCTATATACAGGGAACAAAGACGCTACGAACGGGGCTCCTGGCATCGCTACTAGGAGCAAGGACTCTACTTTGTGGGTGGAAAGCCCATGGGCACGGTGCAGCAACATCATGGGGTTTGAAAGGATGGCGTTGCATTCGGGCTGGGCTGTGGGTGCTGGGGATTCAGAGCAGTTGTTGGAACACCGAACTCAGCTGGTGTCGAACTCAGTGGGTTGAGGCTAGTTCTACTTATCAGCATTTAGTGAGGTTAGTTCTACTGGCCAGATTTTGACCTTTCCACCACAGGCCACTTAGTATCTCCACGTCTTGGCCAGGAGGGCAACTTGGAAGCGGCTCTGGAGGCCTTCCTGAAGGTGAAGAACTCGTCGACTCCGCCCAATTCCCTGGTCCGGGCCTCCTTCCTCGAGAGAGCGAGACACGAGATGGATCGAGAGAGAGCGAGATGGAGAGTGCCGAGTGCGAGACGACGTGTGATGGAGAGGATGGTGGATTGAAGAGGATTGAACTGATGGCCATGATTCCAATGATCCCTCCAAATCTGGAGAGCAACACCCTGAAAGAGTCTGCTCTTTTCTTTGGCGGACCTGAAGTGTGGCACATCAGTGAAGCAAAACATTGAAGGCAATGGTTTGCTTCGTGTGAATCCATGTGAATCCCTTCGGGCTTTGTGAATCCATGTGCACAACTCCCCCTTGTTTTATGACCTCTTGAGGGAATTGACCTCGTTCTGGGATCTCACGCTCGGGTCGAAGGTCCTGGAGGAAACAGACCTTCACGTGCTGGTGAAACGTTTGGAAGACGTTGCGATTTCATTGTGATTCTGACATTCTGTCTCCGATTCACGGCCTTTGAGGTGCAGTGGAAGTCAGACAGTGGAAGTCTGCATGGAAGGATGTTCTCTTGTTTTTCGACAGCCTGACTATGCGCAACAAGTGCGTGTAAAGTATATATAATTGTATAGAGACATGAGTCATTGTTGCCCTTTGAAGCCCCTTGACTCCTTGACTCCTTGACCCGAAGCCGATTACTTGAAGGCTTGGGTGTTGACACATCTCGAGAATCACGAAGGCCCTCTTGGGGTGTGAGCCTTCCAGTCACAGAATCTAGGTCACTCCCTTCCAAGTCAGGTCTACAACTGCTTGTTGGACGCGCTGATCGAGTGCAAGGCCTTCCCACGGGCCTTGGATTGCTTCGAGGAGATGCGAAAGATGCTTGGTTGTGGCATGCTGTGGAGAGGGGCCTCTAGCGGCTCATCACTTTTGGGGGTCAGGGGCAGTGAGCTGGTGTGGAAATCCGTTCGTATTTGTGGTGAATCCCCTACAGCTGCAACTCCCCGCATGACCTTGCGAGCAAGAAGTTGTAGCCCCACAAATTCTGCAAACTCAGTCTAGGAATTCAAGGGTTGGCGGCGCTGCTGTGATTGGATCTTAGTCCTGCTGTATGTATGTTGCTAGATGTGGTTGGTTTGGAATCCGTGCGCAGTGATTGCAAACACATCCATACACATCCCTGGCTGGAGATCCAGTAGGAGGCTTCAAGGGCTTCCAGCCAAGTCACCCCCTGATTTTGGAATATGTTGGAACGTGCTGGTCAGTGTATGTATATATGTTTTGCTCACAAGTGGCTATCGTTTGCACCAAGTTGCTCACTCACCTCGTCTCCAAGAATGAGCCTCACAGGCCACCCACGAATGGCCTTTGCAGTTGACATGTTCTATTTGTTGCTTGGATACTTGTCCACATCCACCACGAAAAACTTGAAGGAGGTGCTGCATTGCGTGCCACTTTAACCGTTGTGTAGCATGTGTAGTGCGGATCTTCTTGATCCACCGCAAATCGATGTGCACCGCGGACCGCAAATGGTGTGTGAGCACTGCCTTGCAGAGGGCCACCGGCAAACGAGAAGGAGATCACTTGTGAAGTTGAAAGGCTAAGCACGAGCTCTTCAGAATTCTGTCGTGGAAGAGCGCAAGTTGGAGAAATGAGATGTCGGCCGCGTTGCCCCGATCACATGATGGATGAGTTGTGCACGATGAGCCGCGGCTCTTGGACCCGGATCCACTGGCCCTCCTCTGAGGTGAAGGCGAGGAGGGAGACACTTTATGATAAAACAGGTGCCAGGAAGGTCCAGTCGTACCTTCGTTTCGAAGGTGGCAATGGATCCCTAGGGAGACCATCAAGGACCAGAGCCGTCACCTGGTATCATCAGGTATCCAGTGGGTTGAT